GATTGAACTTTAGATTAGTAAACCAGCCTCGTATTGCTGGGATAAACCCAACATGGTTGTGTTGTGTTTTTCTTTTTATATATTGGTGGGTTTGATTTGCTGATATTTTTATTGAAGATGTGTGGATCTATGTTCATGACTAATATTGGTGTATGTGTGTGTGTGTGTGTGTTGTGAAGACTGTCTTTGATTTTTGTATATGGGTAATAATTATATTGGTGTAAGATGTGTTGGGAAGAGATTATAGAGTTAGTATTATTATTTACATATTTTGAAGAATTTACTAATCAAGCCACCTGGGCCATTTTTATTGATCTTTTAAAAAAGAACCTTTAGGTCACCTCATTTATATTTCTGTTGCCAATTTTGTCACTTTCTGTTCTTTGTTATTTTCTTCTTATGTGAAATTCTTTTTTTTTTTTTTTTCCTTTTTCTAGTTTTGTCCAGTAGGTTAGATTCTTGGTTGAAGCTTTCTTTTCTACTATGAGCATTTATTGCTCTAAGTTTTTCCATAAGTACTGCTTTAACTTTGTTTCACAAGTTTGAAATGTTGTGTCTTTATTTTATTTAGGTCAATGAAAATATTCTTTAATTTTTTTATACATCCTCTCTGACTATAAATCATTTAGAAATGTGCATTTTAATTTCCAAGTGTCTTCTCCTGTTGTTGATTTCTAGTTAATACTATTATGGTCAGAGAAATTTGGTTTCAAATTTTAATATGGCTTTAGATTTAGCTATAATGTTTTTGAGTTTATTTTTTTTTATTAATTGCACTGGCAAATACAGTAGGCATGCATAGTTTATCAAAGTCTCTATCATCGTAATTTTACCATGTAAGTGTAATGTAGATGAATTATTATGACCAAAATTGTTTACCCTATTCTTTGATGCTGTTTTTTAGTATTACCTCTGCTTACATTGAGAATACTATAATTTTTGCTTCTCAGAAAGAATTTTAACACGCCCCTCCAAAAATACTAATGTACCTCTCTTGTTGCTCTTTCATTATTCTTGTTGTTCTGTTTTATTTCTTTCCTTTCTGAATAACTTTTGAAATTAGATTATTTCTATTGATTTAACTTTTAGTTCTCTGATCTTTTTCCCTGTGTCATCTCTGTTTGGTTTTTGTATGTTGATTTGCATCTAGCAATCTTGATAAATTCTCTTAATTCTAATAGCTTTTCTGTAAATTTAATTTGTATAGCTATAGTTTTATTTGTTCCTTTCTAATGTAGTCACTATTTATTTTTCTCACCTTATTACATTGGCTAGAACATCCAGTATCATCTTAAATAGAAACGGTAAGGATAATCTTCTTTATTTTATTCCTTATCTCATGGGAAAATATTCATTATTTCATCAAGATGGTTTTGAATGTGTGGTTTTTCTTATAAATGTTGTTTGTCATGTTGAAAAGTTTTTTTCTCTTCTACCTTAGTAAGAATTTTTATTAGGGGTGAAGATTGGATTTTTGTCAAGTGTGTTTTCTGTGTCTGTGATTTCCATGTTTTTTTTTTCCTTTTTAGTTACAATAAGATAACTTACGCTTATTGGTTTTTGAATGTTAAGTGAATTTTGCTGTCCTGTGATAAACTTTACTTGATTGTGAAGTTTTATCTTTTATATAATGTGTATACTATGTGTGTACATATATACACAAACATATAATTTTAGAATGAATATATATATATATATATATACTTATACTTATTAATCTAGTAATGTGTATATACCAGATTCACTTTGCTGACCTTTTGGTAAGATTTTTACATCTGTATTTACATCTGTAGGATATTAGAGTGCTGTTTTTTATTGTATCTTTGCCTGGCTTTGGTATCAGGGTAAAGTGGTCTAAGAGAAATTTTCTGGAAGAAGAATGTGTCTGAAATTGATTTTTTTTTCCCCTTAAATATTCAGTCAGTCATGAGGGAAGCTGTCAGGGCCTATCACTTTTCTTTTAAATATTCATTTAATTTATAAATACATATAGGACTATAATTGGTATGAATGTTTGCTTGAGCAAATTTTGATTGATTTTGTATTTAAGAAATTTTTCCATTTTATTTTAGTTGTCAAACTTATTAACCTAAGTTTGTATGTATTGTATGTAATGTTTCCTATTTATCATTTTAAAACATTCATCATTTCTAATGTTTGAAATTTGTGACCCATGTTTGTTTTCTGATTAGTCTGGCTAGTGGTTTATCAATTTTAATGTCCTCAAAAAATCACTTTTAGTTTGATTCACTTTACAGTACTTCTGTTTTGTTTGCTTTGTTTTTTTATTTCATTGATTTCTGCTTTGATTTTTATCATTTCCTGTCTTTGCTCCCTGTTTTTTTTTTGTTTTCCTGGTTTCTTAAGGTAGAAGCTTAAGTTGATTCAAGAACTTTCTCTTTTTTCACCCTCTTAGCTTTTAGTGTTACAAATTTCTTTGTAAGTACTGTAATAGGTTCATCATACAGAATTTTGATATCTGTGTTTTTCATTCATTTCAAAATATTTTCTAATATGTCTTTTGATATCTTGGGCCCATGGGATATTTTAAAATATGTTCTTTAGCTTATAGATATTTGGAGATTATCCAGAGATCTTTATGTTACTGATCTCTTATTTAGTTACATTAGTGTCAGCAAATGTACCTTTGTACAGCTTGAATTTTTTCACATTTACTGAGATTTGTTTCACAGGCAAAGTTGTTTTATTTTGGTAAATTTTCTGCTGTTATTGAGTGTATTAGTCTCTAAATGTTATTTGGGTCAAGAGAGTTGATAATATCGCTCAAGTACTTTAGTTTTAAAATGTAAACGTAAATGTACATTTTTCTCATGTTCTCCTTGTTTCATGTTTATGCATTATGGATTCATATTTATTTGCTCAGAGTATATTCTCTATGAATTCTGTGGTATATTTTGTTTTTCAAAGATTATAACATTACTTCCCATCCCTCATACTCTTGTAATGTGGTCTTGACGCAAAGAGTGGAGTCTTAACCATTTCTCTGCTCCCACTCCAACTTAAGTAAGGGCTATTCTTAATGATTTGAATGAATCAAGTCATTCATTTCACTTGAATAAAATTGTAAAATGTAGCAGCAATGATGTTTTGTGGCTTCTACGACAAGGTCAGAAAAAGAATATGACTTTCACTTGGTTGATCTCCAGATAGTCCTTCTCAAATTGTCCTTTCTTATAACCCACTTGCTGAACTGTAAGAAGCTAAACTAAATGAAGAAGCGATGTGTAAAGTGATCTGGTTTATAATGGTTACTACCTATAGACCATTCCAGCCTGGATATAAAATTTATGCATGAAGAAGGAAATCATTTTGGGAGTATATACTCTAGTCCTAGGTTTTTCAGATTTTGAAATCAACATCAGTCATTTGAGTCCAGATGAGGTCCCTCTGCCCTGTAGATTCCTAAACATAATAAAATGTTTATTGTTCTACATATACCATAATTTGCTTAGTGGTTGCACAACAGTAGTAGTGAGGAAATGATATCTTTTCTTGTTGAGTTTGAAAGAGGTAAACATTTTTGTTTCTGTATATCTGAAATGTGTTTAACGTTTTCATTGACTCTAGTAGTAGTAGTCTTAAATATAAGGGAATTCTTTGTCAGACTTTCAAGTTATGTTTCTCTTGTCTTGTAGTATTCATATTTTGCCAGTGAGACATAATATACATCTGAGTCTCATTCCTTTTTTCAGACTTAAAATTGGCTTCAGACTTTCATTAAGTGCATTTTAGATAATTCATGTTTTATTTCTGTTTGTGGACTTGTCTTTTTATTTGCCTCAGTATATTTAATACATAGATTCAAAAATCTTACTTCCTTTAACTCTCTTAACTCTCTTAGGAGTTACTTTTTTTATTATCAATAACTTGCCATTCTTTCCATTTTATTGTCCCTCATAAAAATAAAGGTGATTCTTCAATGTGTCATTCTTTTGCTTGCATTTTGAGTTGCCCTCCTGTCCTCTGAGATATGTATATCTCAGTTCTGAGCTGCCTGCCTTCAGAAGTGTTGGGAATAACATACCTTGTATTAAGTACCAGAAAGAGTTTAGACTACAGGATCTTACGTTTCCTAAGTATCACTCGATACTAGCAAACTTCTGAGCTATTGGAGATCCATGGTCCAGGGATAGCAGAGGAGTGACCATTTGATGCACGTACTGAAGTATTTCAACCATTAACTTTAGTTTCTTGCTCCTCTTATTTAGTGCTTCAAAGTGTGGAGCAACACTCTCTTTTGATAGCAGTTTTTCCCTGGGTTCTCTGTGGAATTACGTTGATTTTCTTTAATTTGATGTCACCTGCCTTTTGCCTTTTAGAGAGTCCGTGTCATTTTATTTTCACTGGGGACTTTAACCCTTTCATTTTTTAGAGCTTTCTCAGCATTTAAGAAGCAGATGAGCTGCTGTAGCAGTTATTTTAGTCTCGTGGTGGAAGTTGTATCCTCAGTGCACAGAAATGTCACATACACTGTTTTGGATATGATCCTTTTTTTTTTTTTTTTTTTTTTTTTTTTCTTTTTTTTTTTTTTTTTTTTTTTTTTTTTTTTTTTTTGCTGATTTTTTTCTTAGGCTACTTTTACTACTGGTTTGAAAAACTTCATTTGTTTTTTAAATCTTGTATTTCTTCATCTATTCTTGGATATCTGTATTAATACATTTTTTGTGGGTTATAATTAAAGGTAGATGATTTAGACTAATTTTGATCAGTCTTTTTGGGATATGTCACAAAGTCTTGTGTTGCAATAGTTTGCAGAAATTTTTAGAAAGATGTCATCTATGTCTCTCAGTTTGTTGTTGTATATCACTATTAGAATAATTTTTAGTGATTAAAATAATCACAGTTTTATCAGATGGTAAAAGAGTTATTTAAAAAATGACTTGCATGCATTTTTGTTTTAAATAACTGGAGTGCTTATTTTTTCCCTATTCCTATGATTTACTGTGACTTCACTTATAATAAAGATCTTTTTTTTTCAGATCAGCATCTTAGACATGTTGAAAAAGATGTTTTGATCCCTAAAATAATGAGAGAAAAGGCCAGAGAGAGGTGTTCTGAACAAGTTCAAGGTAAGATTCAAATATTCATGGGAAGATTAAGTTCATTTTTAATAATATGATCTGAATTTAATCCTTAGCCTTGGAGTTAAGTAGTTCATGAATTAATATGTATGAATTGCTTCTCACCCTTTCACTAAAATATCAGTATTTCAGCTTTCAGAACTTCCAGGCAGTGTTCAATTCATTTATAATTTTAAAATATTCCCCCAAATTGCTAATAAAAAACTCTTTCTTTGTCAGAAGTATAGTTTATATACAGAAGAGCTTGATGAGAATATTCTGGAGAAACGAGTTGCTCTGGTGATTTCTGATAAGGAAAGGACAAATACTGAATCTAACATGTACCTGTTTTTCATCTATCAACATAATTCATTCATACACACACACACACACACACACACACACACACACACCCTTAGGATGATTTTCTTTAATATCACTATTTTTGAATTGTTAATGAATCTCAGTAAAGCTTACAATAAGTCTGGGTTTTTTTGCTGTTTTGTGTTTCTAAGTAGGAGATATTTATGTAAATGCATGCATTAGTCACCCTCATATGCATGTTTTCTTTGGAAAACATTTTTAATATTATTCTTATATACTGTAAGTCTAGAAAATTGATTAATATATAACATTGTATTGAAAATATAAACAAAGCAGTGAAAGGTAGAAATTGAGATCACAAAACCATCTGTAAATGATGGATAATTAAAAAGCCAACATCAGTATTATTGTAGAAATAGCTTTTTAAAAAATTCTTCCTTTTTAAATGGCTATCAAAAAGAAGTAGTAAAAATTTACCAACATATTCTCTTTTCCTCACTTTGCCTTGTAGTCATCATTGTTGATGGACCACAATAATTCATAGTGAGGATAATCAACTGCAGTGCTGCTGCAGGTTTCTAGATGAGAGAATCAAGCAGTATCAACTCCAGTTTTAAGACTGTCAGTCTTTGGATGCTAGGAACATTTTTCTCCTTCTTAGCCTCTAGCCCTTAGAGATGACCTTTGCAGTTGGAGAGTGGTGGCAATAAAATAACCAACAGTGTGTGATACTCATTCAATTTTTAAATTCATCCATAAATTAGTAGTTTAAAATAAATAGTCATTTTGTGGCGTTATTCTGGCTTTTTCTGTGAAACAGTTGTTTAGTTAGAGTACTTTCCTTCAGCTCTCCAATCCCAGATGTCAGGAGAAATTAACCTGTTGACACCTAAAAACAGAGTTCACTGCACATCTAGCTTTGGCCAGTGTAATGCTGATATTGTCAAAAGGTAATCTTCCACCTGACTCATATAATTTAAAAATATATGTATCTTGCTTCAGGTGAGGGAGGATAAAACTTAAAAATGGATAACAAACTTATAGGGTTAATGTCCCACTACTAGGACAGTTTACCTGTTGCTGATATATCAATGCACTGTTATAAGTTGTATTCATTCTGTTTTATAACACATTTATCCTGATCCCTAGAATGAAAGAAAGCTAACTCAATTATATACTTAATTTTTACAGATGTGATTTAGATGAAAGTGCAGAATGATTTTATGAATTTGTGTTTCAAAACTGGCTTTCTGTTTTCTTAGAGAAACTTTGTTTTTAAAACAAAAGAATAGAATATAACTTTAAAATATTTATTTGTTTGTGTTATATAGCCACTCTTTGACAATGGTATAGAAAAGAAGGTTTAGTGTTCAGTTCTTTATAAAACTCTAGGTGGTTTTGCATGTTGACATGGTAAAGTTTTTTTTTTAATATATGGAATCTTCTAAAGACTGAAAGCATCTTAAAATTTGAGTTTTGTTTGGGTTATTTTAATGCATTTGTCCTTATTGGGAAGTATTCTGTAATATAATTGATTTTTGAATAGTTTAATTTCTTGTAATCATATTGATTTTTTAGGCCATATGGTCTCAGTGTTTTAGAATGTAAAATCAATCATTTTGTAAAAGAATAATAAATCCTTAATATTCTCCCTGTTTAAGCTGTGTGAATTAGGAAAGAGTACACATAACTCCTGCAGGAGAAGAAAACTGTATTTAAGTTGAACAATAAGGTGTAATTTAGAATCAGGACCCTTCCCTTGTACTTTACTTAGTGTTTATACCTTTGCTTTATTAAATAATTATAGGATTTTACATAAAGGCAGTGTGCATGTTAATTATATGGTTCTTAGATAATGATATAGGAATTTTAATAAGTGATCTGACTTTCTGCTAAATGCCTGAAACATGATTAGGCAGCAAAGCTTTTCTGTTTTTTTTCATGTCATTTCAACTCAGCTGATCATAAAAATTGGGTCATACTGCCAGCTACCCGGGTTTGTGAAGGGAATGGAACAGCTTTTCCAGGGACAAAGAAAAATGAAATCACTTTCAATGAAAGAAAGATGCCTCATTATAGTCACCAACAGCAGTTATTGACAGCTACACTTCCTATTAACAAGGAGCATTTAACTAAGAGTTTGGCTGTTGGATCTTTGGACTTGATCTAATTTGCTAGCATTAATTAGTTTCTTTTGAGGACAGACACTTGGTGCTCACAGCTATAGATTTGGAGGGCTAATTAGGATAGAAAATTGAACAGAATGGGGTAAAGCATTAACCTTCAACCATTACCAGCTGGGACACTGATAAAGACCACAGAGTCCAAATGCTCCCTATTGATGTGAAGAGTACCCTAATGAATATCAATTTCAGCCAGGTTGCTATATTTTTACTAGTTCTCTCTTCATTATAAATTTTTAACCAGCTTCCATGATACCTTAATTATCTGTATACTATTGGTTTTTACTATACCTTGATTTAGTCTGAGCTGTACATCTTACCTAATGTTTAAGTACAATTGAAATTTGTCTTAACTAGCAGATAACATTTAGGATATTTCATTGTTATATACTTTTGTACTTTTTCAACATATAATTATATGATTATAATTTGTTATAAGTTTGTACACAGTGATGTTGACTGAGCCATTTGAATATAATGGAAGCTGTTACTGGATAATAAAATCTCTGCATTTGGGTATCAAGTGTATGTATTATTAAACTGGTATCAATTTGAGAATCTGTCTTTTATAAAATGTTTTTAAGAATATTAGAGACAAAAGTTTGTGTTTATTTTTAAAGAGAAAACTAGTGCTATCTCTTTTGGAATTTAAGTTTATTAGTAAAGGTGGTTTGATGCCAAGATTAAGCACAGCATAGAGGATCTTTCTGTTATGGAAACTTTGACAAGGTTATAAACTGTTGGTATCAAAAGAAAGTTCTTTGATTTAAATAGAACTTTATAGTAGTTTTCTTTTGCCAGTGATATTACTGGCAGTGAGTAGAGCTACTAGAATAAATAACTGAAATATATAGGTAGACCTCAACACACTCTCAACATTGAGAATGAGTAGAACTGACAGAAAACTCCAGAATTGTCAAGTCTAGTGTCTTTAAACTGTACTGTGATCACCTCCCAAATGCCACAACAGAGATTCCCTTTTGCTAACTGTGATAATAGGAATCATTGTTTTGTTCTTGGATCTCGAAGTTACCAAGTTGTGTTTTAGGGAGATGTTTGACAGATTCTGGTGATTGCTTTCAACTCTTTTTTTTTTTTTTTTTTTTTTTTTGTACTGGGGATCAAATTTAGGACCTTGTGCTTGTGAGGCAGGTGCAGTGCCACTGAGATAAATCCCTGCCACTCAACTTTGTACTTTTTTTTTTCTGGTACTAGGAATCGAACTCAACTTTGTACTTTTTGTTTTTGTTTTGTTTTTTTGAGACAGGGTCTTACTATGTAGTTGAGACTGACCTGGAACTCACTATGTAGCCCAGGCTGGTCTCAATTTTACAGCTATCCTCCTGCCTCTGCCTCCCAAGTGCTGGGATTACAGGTGTGAGCCACCACGCCCGGCAGCTTTGTACTTTTTAAAAGCTATTTTACTGTACCAATTTAATGATGTATATTTTCTTTACTAGTAATATTTTAAATACATTTTTTGTCATATTTTCTGGTGAATTACACATTCTGGTATTACAAATTTTTCTTCTGGAAATTAAGAGGAAGAGTCACTGAATTGCTATTGTTTTGTAAAACTTCCTCATTCCTTTGCTTTTTTGAAGTACATAGTGGACATCTGAATAAAGTCTATATTGCATAATGATTGGTGCTTTTAAAATACTAAGCAGTTTTCTTTTTGCCATGACAGATCATGATCAAAATTATTTTGTCATCAGGCTTGGGGTGTAACTTTCTTTAACGTAGGTTCTCCTACTGATGGACTTGTTTCAACCCTTAGGCCTCCTTTTTACCTTACTATTTCTTTAGTGTCTTTGTTACAGTCTTCATCTTCGGCTCAATTAGGAGGATATAATTCTGAAGCAATTATATAAAGTTCAAAGAAGGATGGATTGTTTTTGTCTTTGACATACCACAGAACTATGGGCAAATAACACAGAAGCTGGTTAAATGCTTTCCTTCTGTCATGCGCACATTACTGAAGTATGTTACTTTTTGCTCAATTTCAAAGATACATGAAAAGACCAAAAAAAAAAAAAATCAAATGAAGAACATTTATGATATGCTTTAGGAAGTTTACACAGAAAGGATTTGCAGTATTAAAGGAGGTCGTCAAATGACTACAAATTATATATACTTGGTTAAGAGTCATCAGTCTCTGTATAACTTTGTTACTTGAACTTGCCCAAGCCTTTTCATTTGTTGTTTAAAATACACCACTTTTATCACATATTTTTATCATTTAACTGGTTTACCGATACTGACTAAAGTGGAAATGCAAAACATCTTTAGGCTGGTTTGGAGACATTAAAGAAACAATATACAATATCACCAATTGATAATGTATATCCACTATGTATGAGAATATATTATGTACTCTAAGAAATACAAAATGATCTACAGCGCAGTTGCTGCTCTTTGGAGTTACAGTGGTCTGTGTCAAGTATCCCTACAAGCATCTCTTTGTTCAGTGATTTCCTAGGAGGACTCAGAGTATATATC